ATTTGCAAACAGATTGCCTCCCTCCTCTGTTGCTCTCCCTGAGGTTTCTCCCATTGTCCCCTTTAAACTGAGGGGTTTTTCTCTGGAAGTTTTTCCTTGTTCAATGTGAGGGTCTAAGCTAAGGACAGAGGGTGTCATTTTCTCATACTGATATTCTGCACAAACTGTGCTGTTGTATTTGTTGTAAAGTGTCTTTATTGAAAAGTATTTTTACTGTATGTACAGCACTTTGGCTCGACCAAAAATCGTTTTAAAAATGTGCTATATAAACAAAACTTGATTTGACAGCCCCAAATATGAAATTTTTACTTACGAGATACATCATATCCACTGAGCCCTGGGCCTCTCCAACTACTGTGTATTGAATAAAGATTTCTTCTTCTTTTTCACAGGGAAGTGGTTTATCCTTCTTCTTCACTTCCAGGAAGCTGACTGTTTTAGTATCAGGAGAAGAGACTTGGGCCAATGAAACTGTGTGATGTCCAGCCTCATAGTATGGCGTTCTATGATGGTGGTGGACCAATGCTGGTGTCAAGCTTAGCTAGATAACAGAAAAGAACAATGTAAATATTGGTAAAGACCAATGTAAATATTGGTCTTTACCTTAACCAATATTGGTTAAGGTAAAGAAAGTCAACACTTCTACATGTAATATGGCCACCTTGGTCAATTGTATTATATCGGGAAACATTTTAGGTTTCAGCTTTTGTTTTATACATCTTTATTGTTGGTTATTAAGTGTTATGATGTGAATCATAATTGTGGGAAGCTTGATTATTTCCTTCTTACCTGGATACGGATGTTCCCATTTACGTTAACTGTGCTGAATGAGAAAGGGGCAACACCATTGCTGTCAGTAGTGAGATTCTGTATCAAACGTGCTGACCACCTTTCAACCATAAACAGGTAGACCGGCATGTCAGCAATTGGTGTATTGTTGTAATAAACTGCTTTAACCTGTGGAGACAAAGTGGTTTTTACTGAGAATGTTTTTCAGTATATACAGTACAGTGCAATTCAGTTGCATGACACTAAAGAAGAGAAGACAAGATGCACTTACTTTTCCCTCCACAACTGATCCTTGGTCATAAATCTTGGGTGTGTCAGTGAAGGACAGCTTTCCAACAACATATGAAATATCCATACGCTTCTCTTGTTGGTGTGAAATACCTGTAGAAGGATGCTCCATATTAAGAAAATCACATCTTCCGTATGTCATATTCCAGATTAAATCACTTTTTAAAATATATATAGATATATATCAAATGTATAGAAATATATTGAGAAGCAAAATACAAATATATATAAAAATACTTGCCCGTGCCCTCCTCTTCCATCTGAGCAGTGAGTTTCAACTTATCTAGCAGAAACTTTTGGGCAACTTTTGTGAAGGTTGACATTGGGAAGATAAAAGTGGCACAGCCTTTCTTGTCCGTCTAGAAAGCACAATAAGATAGATCAATAACAATGAAATAAATTGAAAAGGGAAGAAATGGCCATCAGAAAAGACCTATTCTTCAGGAGAGCAGAGTGTCGCTACAAAAACTGTACCTGCTTTGTCTCCTTGTAGCATGGAGCATATATTCCCTCTGGATTGTCAAGGGTGAATATAACAAATTGTTTAAAAGGCCTGCACATCTCTACGTTAACACTGCCTGGCACCGGCTGTCCATATGTATACCTAATGTGAAAGACAAAGAAGAAAAGGGTTGTTAAAACTCAGCACACCGGACTTTAATGTAATGTTTAATGAAATTAGCAAAGAGCTTTAACTTACGTTGCACAAACTTCAGCTTTGATTTCTTCCCGATCAATACTTACTTTGTCAGATGCAGTTATTTTAACATCAAATTTAGGCAAAACTGTGGACAAAATAGGATCATTAGCATTCTTGCCTCATTATTAATATTATTAATGTATTGTAATGGATGGCTTAAAACAATACCTTACCATATTTCTCCACTTTGAAGCTGTGATATACTTTATTAGACCCGGTCGACACACTAACTTTGTAGGATCCTTCACGAGCCTCGGAGTTCAAGGCAAAAGAAAGCTGCAATATACTATCGGATGTTTCATTCAGCCACTGTCCAATCCTGTTCCTGTTAGCGTCCTATTAAATAAATAAAGTAGATGAAAAGAACTTGACGAAAGTAGGATGTAGGGTGCAGAGCAAATAAAAGAAAAAATCGACTTCAAATGAAATCCATTAAAACGCAGTACAGAAATAGCTCGTTTTTTTTGTCATACTAAATCTTCGTGATATTTTAAGGATAAGGGACAAATAAGAAGAAAAATTGCGGCCTTTATTTGAGATTGTTCTAAGTTGTTCATTAGTTGTGAAATATCCTGTCAAAGTACATCCTTTTTTTGTTTGTCACAATTTATCAGAATTTAATGATGTCATTCCTAAGAGCTTGGGCGGTACACTCAAATATTGATGTCATAGACAGCTTAGTGCACATGCTCATTTTCTAAACGGGAATAAGTAAAACTGGACCAAATTACTTTCAGGTATTCTGACCCAACTTAACCAAAAAGGTTACCTTCAGTGTAATATAATAATAGTTTAAAATATTTATATTATTTCATGTATTTTTTATGTACATCATTGTAGTCTTACCTCAATTCCGATGATATTATACTGCAAAAGAAAAAATAATTGTTAAGGGACCAGCTGTGTTGTATTGTTTTCATCATACAGGGTCCAAAAGAAAGTCAGTTTATAGGAGAATACCTACACGTCATTGTAACCTCAGACTTTAGCTTTTATGTTCAATATGTGTGACAGACATTTATACTGTTGCTCAGAGTATGTCATTCTGATTTACAGTTTTAAGAAAAAGTGATAAACAGTTCAATTGTATCTCAACATTAGTTCCACTGTCTTATTAAAGGATATACGTGCTATAAACGTTTCAAAATGGGGCACAAATTGAAACGCGAAGCATTATTAAACATAATCACTAAAAACGTAATTTGGGAATGACATTTCAGGAGGGACTTTTCTAACACTCACCATCTGATTGGCAGGTCTCATCTTGGTATCCAGTGAGATGACTCTGAATTTCACTGATAAAAAGCCGACAGATTACAAGAAGCTTTTACAGCTCTCCTACATCAGTATTAAAAGGCCATATTATGCTTTGTAGAGTTTTCCCTCTCCTATAGTATGTAACAGGGGTTCTATTTCGTATATGGCTTCGCCCTCTAAGGCTATCGCTATTGGGTAATCCCCCTGCGCCCCCGCGCAGCACTGAAACACTTGTAGTCCACGCCCACCCACAAGGTGGGCCCCACCCTCGGGCCTCCTTCCGGTATAAATAGCAAGGTGGCCCGGCAATCTGCTGCCTCTTTTTTTCAGCAAACCAGCACAGTTACTGAAGCACAG